AGGAAATTTATCAGACAAATGTTTACCTACACGGACTTTACTGTATGTTTCATTTAAACACATTTTAATCAACCTAACTAGTTTCATGGATATCCCAAACTATTAGAATATTGTACAATACTTCCCTCCTAACTGAATCATAGGCTTTCTAGAAGTCTATGAATAGCTGATGTACTGTCTCATCGTACTCCCATTTTTTCTTCAATATCTGATGAATGCAAAAGATCTGATCTGTAGTTGATCTTTTACGTCGAAACCCACACTGATGATCCCCAATAATTTCATCTATATATGGACTTAACCTTGAAGGAAGAATATCGGACAAAATTTTATATGAAGTTGATAGCAGTGATATCCCCCGATAATTACTACAGTCAGTTTTATCACCCTTCTTGTGCACTGGTACAATAATAGACTCCTTCCACTGATCAGGCAATTTTTCCTTATGCCAGATAGAAGTAATTAGATTGTGGATCTTAGAACGTAATATTTCTCCTCCTCCTTGAATAAGTTCTGCCAGAATTTGATCACTACCTGGTGATTTATACCGTTTCAATTTTTCAGTAACACTCTCAACCTCAATAGGGCTAGGATCAGGTATTAACATCTCAGCTGTATGGATTTCTGTCTGCCTAACAGCACTGACCCTATGTACATTCAATAACTGAGAGAAGTAGTTCCTCAACGTATTCAAAATGTTGTGGGAATCTGCAAGCAGATCACCATTCTCATCCTTCACTAAGTTACTGCTAGGCTGGTGACCCCTCTTAAAGGCATTTATTCCTCTATACATGTCACTAATGTTCTTGTTCTTACTGTTCATTGCAAGCTCATTTTTGTCTTTCAGATGTTCCCTCTTTTTGTTCTTGAAATGCCTGCTGGTTTCATGTCTGATATTGTTCAGGTTATCCCCATATAACTTGCTTGAATCCTGTAACCGTTGCAATTTGGCCTGCTTTCTTTGATCTAATAATTTTGAGCATCCTTCATCGAACCATGGCTTATGCTTCTTCAGTTCATAATAACCTAGACTCTCTTTGGCAGACATTTTATATTCTCTCTAATAGTTTCCCAAGCTTTATTAACATCCACCTCAGTTTCCAAGTTTTCCAAAGCTGTGAACCTAGTTAAGATTTCAACACAATACTGCTCTTTACCCTCTACCTCATTTAATTTGTTGAGATTGAACCTCTCCATATTAACTCTGTGTTGTTTGTTTGCTCACTGCCAGTCTTTGCCACCACCAGGTATTGGTCAGTATCACAATCTGCTGCCCTGAATGATCAGACATCAAGTATACTTGAGTGCCGTCTCCTGTCTATCAAAATATGGTCTATTTGATTGTGTATCTTCCCATCAGTAGATGTCCAAGTAAATTTATGGATGTTACGATGTGGGAACATGGTACTTTTGACAGTAAGATTTTTTGATGTGGCAAAGTTTACAACTCTAACTCCATTATCATTACTAATTTCATGCAAACTCTCATTCCCAACTGTTGGTTTGAAAATGTCTTCCCTCCCTACTCTTATGTACGAAAAAACCTGTACCTAATTCATGATTTTCTTTCCCCTTTCCATAGAAAAATGTATAGTCTCCTGCTTGTGCGATGCCACCTCCATCCCATCTGACCTCCTGTACTCCCGCTAAATCTACCTTATATTTTAAGATTTCTTCTGCCGTTGCCCTGAGCGAACCTGCATCAATTTTCATTAGCTTAGGTCGTTTATCCAAAGAATCTGTCCAGGTCCTAGGCTTTGTGTTCATTTTTGTAACATAATGATTTTTGACGGTGAGGAGTTGTTAGCCCCATGCCCAACCCCCAAGCTGGAGGGCCACCCCTTGTCGGCTGTCCGTGACTGCTTATTCAATATATTCACAGCTTCCCTCCAAAACTGGAGGGTGTCTCCTCCATCTGCAGCCTGAGGACACGCCATGCCGTTGTGACAGGGACCCACCTAACATGGTAGCTTTCTTATAGGTGCAGTAAATGTGAATAATTCTTTTTGCATTTTACTTATGAATTAAGCCAACATCTCTCACCCATAATACTGATGTAGATTTTAGATCAACACTGAAGGTACCATGCTTCAAAATTGACCATCAGTAGTAAGTAAGAAAACCTAATACTGTGCCCTTTAATTACTGCTTACTTATATTTATAAAATTTGTAGTGAAAATGAACAGAGGGATTCCTGACAAATTGAGGTGGTAATGAAATTAATAACCTTCCAGGATTAAGAATCCTGTATTACATATTCACGTTAACAACTTAAAAATTCTGCAGTTATATACTTCATCTCTTATTTTGAGCTATGTAAATGTGTGTTGGGTGTGTGGGGATTGTCGGTGCTATCAGTATTCTGGACCTTATGAACAAATCATTGGATGAGATGTGAATGATGAATTGGGAAGGATTTTGAAAGAAACAATGACACAGTGAAAAAGCCGCATCTCAAGAATATTGTCTGAGAGGCTTCCTCTGGTCTCAGAGGAAGCAGATGAGAGATTTTAATGGCTTGCTTAGGCAGAACCCATCTTCACTGTTCATGTTATTGGACTGAAGCTCAATCTCAGTTGTTCCCCTAATACTGTGACATAATGCCTAAAAGCCAGAACACTGTAGTCAGAGAAGTGTTTGCAAAGGTGTCCATTGCTGTGCAGTGGCTTGTTAAAACATGTTTCTACAGCAGTGAATACAGACACAAACGTTGGCACACGACCCCTTATTTAAGGAGAGCCAGTGTGACCCACCAAGGAAGAGCCAGGAGGGTAGTTGCTTGACACCCAGACTCATGAAACAGGTGAATACGGTCATGAGTCCTGCAGGACCTGGAACCAAAAATGACTGTGCTGTTGAGGGCCAGTAGCAATTTACCCAAACCCATCAGGGGAACAGTCACGGACCATTTGAGATAGTCTCATTATTGGAGGCTGTAACTAAGCAGCGAATACAAGAAGAAGTAACAGAGTAGAGAGACTTGGGATAGGCTGTAGTTGTTTGTAGATCATGAAGAATAAAGAAGATATTGTAATTATCTGTAGCTATGTGTAATAAGTATCAGTAAACGCATTTATCAATCTTGACCCTATGTCTAGTCACTAACCTGTAACAGTACGATGCCTGTATGTGGGTTTGGCAGATACATACATGAATTCACAGCATTTGAACACAGTACAAGAGACGTGGATATGTTCCTATATAACCAGTTTGAACACCCGGTTCCAGTTGAATTTAAATTGGAGAGGAATGTGAACTTGAATGCTACATAGGCTCATAAAATGTTACAGCTTTATAAAATAAACAAGAATGCATGTTGTGTACGTGTGACTTTTAACATGGACTTGGACAAAGAGTCTTCTTATGCAGCTGGACCTCTGCTTTAATTTTTTAATTAATGAGCAGTATCTTTCTGTTACAGATGTACGCAGAAGGAAGTGATATTGATCAGGACGGTTTTCGTCAGCTTCTACTTCAGGCATATAAATTGGCTATGGACCACTATCCAGAAGGTCCACAAACTTGCAAACAGCTCTCCAACATCTTACAAGCTGTTATTGATTGTGCTGTAAGTTTATTTTGGTTGTATTATATGCACTTGTAGGGGTAGTTAGAAAAGATGCTTTGGTTCATAGACTTGCAGACAGAAAATGGAACCAGATATTTGTTCATATTCAGATGTTTTCCATGAGAAGTTGTTTTGAAAAGTTGGTTGGTTGTTTGGTTTCCAATGGCTGCATTTGGGATCATTGAACCCATTTTGCTTCTTGCTTCCCAATAGAGAGCACTCAAGTTCTTGCTTTGTTGCATCTCCTTCTTAAGATTAGTGCATTGAAGGAGGTGTTCTTTTCCCATAGTTGATCCTGTCAAGTTGCACGGTGTATATTCTTCTGTGTTATATATTCATATCTTATAAAGATGTACTGCAAGGCATTCATGTCCTGTATTCAATCGAAAATTTGCAACAGCTTCTTTTCTGGGTTTCTTGCTGTTAATTTCCCAAAGTTTTCCTATTTCTGACCATTTCTTGTATGATTCTTTGTTGATGATATGGAGTGTTTCTTGTTTTAGTTTTGATTTTGTTAGCAAGTGTGTGGACACTTAAAATTTTATTTTGGTGATGCAGTCTTGTGCCCTTCCTTGCCAGTTCATCAGCAATATTGTTTCAGTTGATGCCAACATGTGATGGTATCCATTGAATGTATATTATCTTTTTTGTGTTTTCCAGTAGTTCTATTAGTTTTTTGTTTCAGTTATCTGTCTCATGATAGTTCTTTTGTTTGAGGATGTGGCTTGTATGGCTGCTTTTGAACCCACAAGCAGAACCGCTTTATTAAACATGTTGGGTCTGCCGATTAGTTGTTCCAATGCAAATAGTATTGCTTTTATTTCTGCATCGAAGTTTGATTTGTTTTCGCCTACTGCTATATAGTGTGCGAAAAGGTATGGGTATACTCCAGCTCCAGCATTAGCTTCTTTGTCTATCAGACAACCATCAGTTTTGAAAAGTAGTAATTGAAAAATCAGTTCTCTGGTATCTCCTATTTGAGAGGAAGTATGTGATATTTTCAGTTTTTCTATGAAATCATCCCTCTATGCCCGCCCTTTTCTTCTCTCACCGTTCCTCTTGTTGTGCGATGCGATGCAACTTCCAGCCTCACCTTACCTGTTGCAGCGTCGCTCGTCTTCTCCTTGTTGTAGCACTCTTTAATTTCTCAGGGGTTTTTTTTTTTATGCTAGCCAGTAGGTAGGGCAAGGAGTTCTATCCTCAGGATCGCATACAGGACCTTAACTCAGAAGAGCACAGGGAAGCGATCAAATGCACACGTACAACATGATTCTGGTTTATTGTGGCACCATTTCTTTGATAACCGTTCACACTTATCACTGCAACACGTACATTAATATGACAGTTAAATGACTCTTGCTTATTCGCAAACTCGCCTGTTAATTTATTTATTTCTTTATTTACTTATACTTGGCTGAATCCTTTGTTTTTAGATTTAGATGATGTAATTTCCGGTCCGTGCACAAAGTAACATGGTAACAGAGTCCTTTGTTTGAATTTGGAAGAACGTAAGTTTACGTCCGTGCACACCAACGAATCGTAACCGACTGACTTTCAAAACCGACGCTCTGGATAGCGTCCCTTTAGTTCCCGCTCTCCTGAATTCAAGAAACATCTTATCTTGCCTTCATTGGTCAATTTAAACTAAGGGAATTTACATAACTTCCTAGATTTCCAATGGGCTGTCAGCTTTCTCCACACTTAGCCAAATTTGCTCCAACGTCTTTGCTGTCAAAAATGATGTATTCTGGGCTACGCGTCAGAAAGCGAATACACCCCCCCCTTTCTTAAACTTACGACCCTTCACGCTTGTCATCTCACAATTCTCGACATGGTCGCTTTCTGCCATTCCAGCTATCCTAAGGAGTCTCAGCAGGGAGTCTTCCTGCCTGGCTTTTGCATGTGCGTTAAAACTAATTGTTTAACCACCTGAATACATAAACAGGTCTATGTCCATCTACTATTCCTTAATGTAACCTACTATTTTATAATACTCATAACTAAATAAAAATAAAAAAAAAATAAATGGAGGGCGGCATTGGACGATTATACCTCTTTGATGAAAGTTTCCCCCTTCCTCAGTTATCACATTTGCATTTGTAAATCGTCACTGTGCAGTCACCAGTGTTACTGCAACTGTCCAGTAAAAAAAGATTTGTCTCTTTGCCATTTGATAAGAAGAAGGGTGTAAAACTTGAGATAAATGGTGAATGTTTTTAGTTGAGGTGGTGTGTGCAGATACTTGGCTTTCATGTTTGTGAGTTTCACAAGTTCTGTGATGTTCTGGGGTTGGGGACTGGACAGTACTGATTCTTATGGAACACTTCCTTTAAGTGATTTTCAAAACCTTCATGCATGAAGACTTTCAGAAATATGCTCACCCACTTGTTGTTAATGAGTTAACAAAGACCAGTGGCAAGCGTAAAATAATTATATGAAGTATACTGCAAGACTGGTTCACCAAATTTTGTTAAGTGGTTGGTAGGTTTGTATGTTTGGCGCATTATCAGGTTCTGCTGCAGGAACTCTCTGCATTCATGGCCAACTGCTTGTTCAGAATAATGGAATCTGTCATTCTTATGAACACTCTACAGTAATATGAATATTCTCAAGTAGTGGGTGAATTACTTTTGTTGTTTTTATTAATGCCATGATAAGTTATTTAGCTTGTTGATAAGTATATGGACATATATGTACTTACATATAATTTAAAGGAGCCTAATATAATCTCCACTTACAATAGTATATTCTTGAACTTAATTTTAGTGTGCATGTAAGCTTACATTTTGTTTGAGAGATTTGCCACATACTTCAGTATATGTGGGTGGGTTATTTTATGACACTGTCAGTAATTTGACCGTGTAGCATCAAATGGTAAGATGAAAGATGAATGATAAATTTGAAGGGCTTTGGAAAGAGGCACTTATGGCCTAAGCAAGATACTGGCCTGATATTTTCCGGGAGGGATCAGGGAAAGCCATAAAAAAGCTCTCTTAGAACAAGATATACAAAAGTATATAAGGTATGCAGTCTACACAACAATATTCTGTATTTAAAATACAAAGAAGACATTACTGTATCAACATTTGCTTTTATTATGTTTTTACAGACGTAACATGTTTCAGCCCTTACCCCGGGTCATCATCAGGTGTACAATGCTCCAGTTTGAGCTGTTGAACTGCAATTAATTATCGTCTCTTAGGATAGCCATTAACCACCTCTGGAATACAAATCTGGAGCATTAGCACTATGCCAATTCGTTCAGCTCTGTCTGTGGTTATTGTTTGGTGAAACTAATTAGTACTCTTTGAATTTCAATTTTCCAGTTATGAAATAAATCTGATAGGCCCTGAGTTAACAAAAACTGGATTCTCTACTTTTCTGATTAACTGATGTGCTTCTAGAAACTCTGCTAGCTTAAATATAAATTATTTCATGTCATAACATCAGGTGTTTCATTGTTTGCTTATGTGTGTCATGGACTTTGGCCATTCTTTTTATTTTACTGTCTTCATACTGTCACATATCTGGGGTTTGCGCGACTAATAAGACAGGTTTTTGATTTGATGATCGAATTTATTGTACCTTTTCGCTTAGTGGGGGTGGAGTCCAGGTGGGTCCACTCGGCACAGCGGCCACTGATTGGCCTATTGTACCTGCCCCAGGTGATTATGATGATGGAGAATTTGGTGGAATGAAGATTGGCAGAGAAAACCGAAGTGCTCGGAGAAAAGCCGCCTCAGTGCCACTTCGTCCACCACAAATCCCACTTGACCAGACCCAGGATCGAACCCAGGCCGCCGTGGTGGGAAGCCAGCAACTAACCACTTTAGCTATGGTGCAGCCTTATTGTACCTTTATTATGACTGGTTACAACAGTTTACAAATCACTATCTCACATACTGTCATCTTCTTCTGACTGGACACTCAACGGGAAGTAGTTTGACTTTCAACTGAACTCTCTTATGAATCACTAAAGACAAATGACGAATGAAGACTCCATCCGTTCTTCTCTGCACAGCGACTTATAGTCTCTCATAACCATGGAGGACATTTGTTGCCTGTCCAGTGACATGGAATACACATTCCGTATGAAGTCAGTCTTCATGAATCCACATCTCTATGGAAACATGTTGATTTCATAGCAGCTCTTTTGTTTCCACAAGTCTGTCCATTGCTGCAGAACTGTGCCTAGCAAGCCACTGTCTAGCAATGAACTGTTCTGGCTTTCAGGTGTCATGTCAGAATATTTTCATTCTTGTGCTATTGAGGATGTTGTTCATCTCATACAGGGTTTGTCCGAAAAGTAATGTCAGTTATTTTATTGTGAAGTGACTATATGTCGCAGCACTCTCAGACCGGTTGGGATCGGTGGAGGGGGAAGTCAGCTTATGAACCCGCGGTCGCTTAGTCGTCTCCGAACTTCCTGAGAGTGACGAAAGGCTTTTCCGTGAAACTCGTTTTTGTCTCCCGTGCAAGCCGCAATGCAGCGCTCCTTGGAACAAAGGATTGCCATCATGTTTTGTGTGAAACTTGGCAAGTCTGCAGTGGAAACTTTTCCCATGATAAAGACGGCCTTCGGTGATGATTGTTTGTCGGAATGTCAGGTCTACCGGTGGCACAGGGCCTTTTTAGAAGGCCGTGAAGAGGTCGACGATGAAGCCCGCGCTGGACGGCCATCAACAAGCACCACCGACGAAAATGTGAGTTTGTACTACATGGTACAACCATCAACGCCAAATTCTACATGGAAGTGCTAAAGAGACTCAAACGAAGTGTTTGTCTCATCCGGCCCGACATCGCGGACGATTGGAAACTTCACCATGACAATGCGCCAGCCCACACCGCCTTCCTCGTGACCCGCTTCCTGACCAATTCAAAGGTGCCAACGGTTCCCCAGCCGCCCTACAGTCCTGACGTGGCTCCCCAGACTTCTTTTTGTTTCCGCGCTTGAAAACTCTCATGAAAGGACATCATTTTGGGACAGTTGGCGAAGTCAAAGAGGCTTGCACCAAGGCTCTAAAGGACATTCCGGAGGAGGCCTACCATGACGCCTTCGATGCCTAGAAATCTCGCTGGAATCGATGTATCGACGCAGAAGAAGCCTATTTTGAAGCCTTTTAATGTGTTGCACCGATCTAATCCATAAAAGTTTTTTAATCGACTCACTGACATTACTTTTCGGACAAACCCTGTATGTGCAAATTATCCCCTGTATGGAGCATTTCATTGAAATACTGAGATTTTAGTTGCTTCATTGCTACTAACATCTTCACACACGTTCTGTAAAATGACAGGAAAATATAGTGACAAAGTATTATAGAAGAGAATACACAAAGTGTGCAGATGAAGAACATGAGCTTAATGGGATCAGGAAGAACTTGACACTGTAAGACACTATATAAAATATAACAGGTCATGGGATATAGTACGAGTAAAACCAATTAAAACAATAAAAATAGTTTGTTGCCTTTTTTACGGTACTAGTTATGGAGTTCTGTGTAAGTAGAGATTGATAAAAGTCACTGTCACATGTAGGGTTATATCTTGTGTGGTTGCCTCTACAGTTTTACAGTAAACTACTGCCACACAGTCAGAAGCAGCACTTTTTGTCTCAGGTCATCTTACTGTACTAGAAGCACTTAAGAAAAGGAACCTCACTGGGGCATACACCACAGAAAATTTGCAGTCTGTTGATGAGTTCAGTATGTAGATGGCACAAATGAAAAATAAATTAAAAGTGTGAAGGCAGCATACAATAGCAGTCCAGACAGCCACCCACAGGGTATGTGATGTAGGGGCTTCGAAAATAAATTCAGACATGTCACTTCTGAAGTAAAACTGTTCAGTGGTGTAATTCCTGCTGCATTTAAGAATTCACATAATCAGTTTTCTTGTGTTTATGTCTGCAGTATTTGAGAACCCAACATGAACTGTAATGTTTAATCTTAAAAAATGGTAACTTTTCATTTTCAGTTTCACCGCAAGTCATGTGTGTCTGTTACCTTCTTGTCACACTGGATTGAACAACACACTCCAAGGCTAATTGTCGGAATCCATCGTTATGTTGTTCACATGCTGAGCACAGTATATCGGGAGGCAGGGCAGTTGGCCAGCGCTGTAAGTGTGCAGTAGATAACCATGATATATTATGAAAAAGACATTGCTACAGCATTTAATGTTATTCTGTCTTTTTGTGTTGCAATGATGCAATTATTTTCTTGGTAAGTGATTTTGCTTTCTTTTTTATTTTAAATTAGCTTATACTAGAGATCCAAAATTTTCATAAAGAAAAAGTGGGACAGTATTCTCAAACACTTATGTCATAGGGAGTGGTTCAGCAAAAGTATGCTTAATAATTTCGTTGGCAGAAAGAGATAGAAACATGCCTAAAGTAACAACAAAAATTGGAAAATGTATGCAGAATTAGTTGTGGTACAGAAAATGACAAACATGATAATCATGAAATCGTTAAGATTGAACCTACATAAGAAAACGTAGGTGAACATCAGGACATTTAATAAGGATGGACTGGCTGACATTGTAGCATATTAATGTGACTGTGCAATTGGAGACAACATAACATATTTCCAATATATTATGTGTAGGGTGGTACACGTGACAAAAATGACGTGTTCTAGTTCAGATGATTGGATTTATTAACACTTTGGTTACAAGTCCTTAATCACATTCACATGTGGTCCTCTCCTGGTACCACAGTTAAAATGCAGGAACTATAAGAATCTCACTGAATCACCTACTCCAAGTATTACACATGAATGACGCCCTCTAATCCTCAAAAGTCGACGAACTTTCTGTGGCTACCAAGAACTCAGAACTCACTGCTTTGGTTATTCTTGTGAATCTCATTATATAGCTGTGGAATGAACCACACAAAACACTCTCTGTGTTGTTGAGGTTTGTTTCCTGAACTGTTGCATAGTTCATGGTGCAGACCCAATAGAAAACCAGTCGCATGATATCTATCTTGCCAGTCCATTAGCATGCTGACTGTTGCCTAGCAGCAAGCTATAAACATACATCCCATTGTTTAGTGCACATAAATGAGAAGGTGTTTATCATGCCATTGCCTAGCTATACACATTACAATATGTTGGTGTCCATTATTGTGTCTTTCATGGAAATTTGTTAAATGAATTCACAAAGAGTTACATATTCAAGTGCAGCATTGACCATGCTGGAAGTTGTTGTCTAGATATTTATTCACATAAGATATGCGTGTTTTTTCAGTTCAGATTATATAACATAGAATGATCAGTGAATAATGAATTGGAAAGGACATGAATGGAAGTGCTCTTGGCCTAATTTTAGTTGCTGTGCTGTCATTTGCCTGAAAGGGCTGACAGAACCTTGATACATCATGGTCAGGATATCCAGTCTGCACTGAGGTTTGAACTCAGATGTCCTGAATATAGAAAGCAGGTGTGCTACACATTTGACTGTGACTTTTTTTAAGTATCATTCATGTTTTCCTACTTCTGTAAATTGTTGTGTGAGCAAAAACATGTTTTGATGTTCTGTAGGTTTTTTCTCATGCAGCTGTCAGAATGACATAATCAGCATCCAAAATAATGGATAGTTTATTGTGTTTTGTTAAATATGTAACAAAAAATTTTGAGAAATAGAAGCTGCTGATGTTAATGAGATGCAACTATATGTCCTGTATTGTACTTCTTTTTTAATGATGTATCACTTTTGAGAAACATGAGATTTGATTAAAATCTCATTTAAAGTAGAATGTATAATGTTCCAATAAAAATAAATTAAATTTTTCTAGCAGTTTCAATATAGATCCTGAATATTAACATTTTGTTACAATCTGGTGGTCAAGCAATTTATGCATTTCTTACGAGAACACACAAAAACTGGGAACATGTAATAGTAGAAATAATTCACTTTCCATGCAGGAAATGTGCTAAGCTCCAGTGCTGTAGAGAATAATAATATCTGGACTCATGAGCTTCCATTTGTTGGTAAGAGTGTAATGTGAACTTCATAACTCTTGAACTCAAGTATTTATAAACTGTATCATTAAAAGCTGTGTAGTTACCTGTCGTTAAAGTTAAGTGAGGATGGACTTACATTCAGCTTCCATGGTATCATGTGGCTTTGACTTTTTTGCCTAGGCTGCATTGCATGTTCAGTAGACCTTCTGGTTGTATTCTTCAGGGTTAATAACTTGGGGGAGGGGTTTTGGCAGCCATTACACAGACCTCAACATTTGATGCAACCTAGCCCCAAATGCCAAAGCCACACATTAAGCCCCAGCTCTGAAAGTCTGAGGATCTGAATTGCATGGAATTATGTTTCTGTTGATTTCTCTCTGTTGTGATATGTTCTCTTGCATTATTCAGGGTCTGGAGCTGGATACACCAGTGCTGGAAAGAGATATTTTGTTCCCAACATCAGAAAACAAGGAGAATGATATATTGCCTGTATCAGAAGTGTGGCTGTTGTCATCTTCCCTCCCCTCGTTCTACACAAAACCATCGCTGCATCACTCACCATCCAGCTCGTCTAATGGCCTCTCGTCACAGACATTCCTGGCCAAGATGGTATGTTTTATTAGATATAACTGAATAAACACACACACCAATCCAAGAAACCAGTTCTGAATTTTTATGAAGAGAGGAATAATACTGTAGGCATCCGCTAGGGCCCAGAAAATATAATATGAAGGCAATACTCTTTAGCAATGTACAGAACTGTGCCCCTCCTCTTGTCTCTCTGTCATATCATATTAACACTAGTGCAGCCAGTACAAAGCATCTCTCCTTTGTTGTCTCTCTGCCATGTCATATTGATGCTGATGCATTATTTGAACTATAAATGATAAAGGAACGTTCTTACATCTGCCCTGATCACGTTTTTCCTTCCCCCTTTCTTTTCTGCACCCCCCCCCCACACCTTTCTCTGGGTATCCCATAGCAAAAGTGTAAATCTTGAAACATTTGCCATTTAGCATGACAAAAGCTAAATTTGAGACAGCAATTTGTATCCATATTGCACCTAGATTTTTTAAACCGTTGAAAGAACATTCTTTCTAATTTAATTTCTAATATAAAGAATACACACACAAATTTGAGACATTGTTTTTGGGGTACAGAATGTTTTGGAGCTTCTGCTTGTTATCTGAAAGGTACTGCCAGGCTAATCACATACAGGGTAATTCATGGGTCCCTCAGGAATTTCCGAACTCAGTAGCGCACCAACCAAGACAGGCACAGCTGAAAGGAGCATATCAATAGGTAGAGAATCTCTCCAAGTTTGTTTGGGTAATGGGCACCACAGCATACTTGCAGGCTTCACTGCTAGGGGCAGTTAAGATGAAACATGGTGAGGACAGGGGATAAGAAAGTGTTCTGTGTCTTGGAATTTGCCAAAACTGAGTCAGTTATGACGGTGCATTGGAGGTTTCGAACCAAATACCACACAGAATATGTTGAACATGTGCAAGAAACTTTTTGTCAAGAGCACGCAGAAGTCAACACATTGCGTGAGCCAGGAAATACAGATGTCTCAGTCAAGTGTCTGGTCCATTCTGCACAAACGCCTTTATGCAAAAGGATACTGCCTGCACACTCTCGACAGTCTTGGCTGATGGCCATGGCAGGCCCATTCATTTCACAGCACACAGGCAGCCACTCTGCTGGAATTTCTTGTACCACTTGCAAGTTGTTTTATCCATGGATGGTTCTTTGTGGTACTTGGTCCGAAACCTCTGTTGCACCATCACAATTGACTCAGTTTTGGCAAATTCCAAGA